AAACAATCCGCCCGCCTCGGCCTCCCAGAGAGCTAGGATTACAGGCGTGAGCCACCGCGCCCGGCCACATCCACACCCTTTCACCGTGGCAGTCACTCTGTTAGGTTTGTCTGTCTGTCTTCCCTGTGGGTCCCCCATCCCGGCTGGCCGTGGAGTGGGGAGACCCGTCTCTGCCCTCAGCTCCAGGCATGGAGCCAGCCCCAGGGCTCTGGGGTGCGTGGAGCTGCCTGTGCCCTTCGGACTTGAGAAATGCAGGTGCGGCCCGTTCCTGGGAGACGGCCCGGGGAGGGCGGGCGGGTTGCAGCTTCGGGCCTGTACCCCAGCGTGGAGCTCTGTGCCGTGGGGTGGGCTGCGGCCTCCCCTGCTTCATGGCCTCTCACTGGAATTCCCAGATCCCTCAATTGGGTGCCCTTCCCCCCCTCCTCTGGAAAGGTCTTGGGGTGGGGGTGAGCGTCCTACCTGAGCACACAGGGAGGACTCTGACGACCAGGCACGTTCCTGGGGCGGCTGAGGGAGAGGGGGCGTTAGGAGAAAATACTCCATTAGAAAAACTCAGCGTAGAATCTCTGCAGCCCGCCAGGGGCCTCCCCAGGCTCCATCCCCAGCAGAGGAATCAGCCCGGCCGAGAGAGGACTCGGACAGACACCCTGCCAAACACTCAGCAGCTGTCCCTTCTGGGGGGCTGCTGGCTGGACGAGGCACCTAGGAGGGCAGGGCAGCAGCACCAGCCCCCACCCCGGCTCAGAGGGCCCCCACTCACCTCTGTGCAGCCACGGAGTTCTCATCACTCACGGGCTCCCAAGGGCCCTGTTCCCGCTAGCACCGAGGGCTGTGGCCACCCTCCATCCCGCCTTCTCTGGCAACGTCAGAGCTGAGGGACGTGGGCCCGGGGCCTCACGCTTGCTCACGAAGGGCTTCCGAGGGAAAACTACAGACGCAGGGGCCGGGGCAGAGGAGTCCTTCCTTCGTGTGAGACCCAAGGCCGTCTAGATGGGGCGTCCTCAGGGCATCTGGCCTGGAAGGGGGCAGCTAGTGTCGTGCCCCACCCATGTCGTACCAGCCTATTCGTCCCAAGACACCCTCCGGCTGCCCTGTGGGAAGGGACGGAGCACCAGTCCGCACCGATGAAGAGGTCGAGCGCCGACCACCTCTGTCCCTGTGGGTGTGCCCGGACCGGACCTGCGGTTCGCAGTCAGGACCTCGGTTTCCCTTTGTCAGCAGGGCTGCAAATGCGGGTCCCTGGGCCCTTCGCCAGGCGCACTCGGCCAGGGTGGGCCAGGCCGGGGTGTGCACGTGGGCGTCTGCAGTTGCCTGTGTGCTCACATGTGCACACGGGGCTGCCGCTGGAACCCGGACCGTGTTTTTAAAGACCCTCAAGCCATGTCTACACCGAGCCGTTTTCAGACTCGCTGAGCTCCTCCTGCCTCGATGTCCAGGCAGGAGCTATTTCCACAAAACCTGCTCCCAGGAGCCCCCTCCAGGGCCAGGCACTGACGACACACACCCTCGGGGTTGAAGGGTCACTGCTTTTATTGAGGGTCTGCTGGGTGGCTGTGGCGGAGCTGTCCCCAGGTGTCCTGCCCCAGGGAGCCCAGGTGCAGCCTCAGGCAAGAGGCTGGTCCTCGTGCATGGAGCAGGGGGTTCCTGGTCCCCAGTGGGTCACGGAAGACGCAGCACAAAGATCAGGGCGGCCAGCAGGGCCCCCGGCTGGTGGTAGAGGGTGGAGGCCTCTGAGTAGCCGTACTGTGTCCTGCAGGAGCTGCCCAGCTGGTCCAGCGGGATGGGCTCCTCCTCGGGAGCTTGCAGCGTTTCGTTGCTCACCTGGGGACAGACACCTGTGGGGCAGCCTGCCTGGGGGCAGGAGCGGGCAGGGGAGCGTGGGCGGCCCCATCCTCACCTTCTCCACGGCCTCGAAGACACGCAGCAGGTTGTCAGCCAGCGCTCCCCTGACCTCTGCCTCCGTCCAGTTCCTCCTGAGCAGCTCTGCAATCAGGTCTGGGTACTTGGAGACATCTTCCAGCCCCGTCGGGAGCCTGTGTGGGGGCCGGGAGGACCGGGCTCTGCAGACGTGGCCGACTTGGGCCCTCCCGGGGGGCATGAGGAGAGAGGACCGGGCTCTGCAGACGTGGCCGACCTGGGCTCTCCCGGGGGCACGTGGAGAGAGGACCGGGCTCTGCAGACCTGGGCCCTCCCGGGGCACAGGCTGGTGGAGCGGCCTTCAGAGCAGGGGGTCCTGGGCCCGTCCTCAGACACACTTCCCTCCGCCAGGCCCCTTGGGACGTGGGTGGGGTCACGAGCCTCAAGGGTCGTCCCCAGGACAGAGGCCTCACCGCCTTACCTCGTGACGCCATCGAAGTCCCCACCAAAGCCCACGGCTCCGGCTCCGGCCACCTTCCTGATGTAGTCCAGGTGGTCTGCCCAGGGAGCGGCAGGTGAGGGTCCCAGGCGAGACCGTCCCCAGCTCAGGCACTGCGACCGCTCACCCGCCACCTACCGGCCACTTGGGACAGGTCGGCGTCCTCTGTGCAGGAGACGTAGTCGTTGTAGAAGTTCACCATCACCAGGCTGCCCGTCTGGTTCTGCTCCGCGAGAAGAGGTCAGAGCTGAGCGCAGGGCCGCGAGGGAGGCGGGGCGGACTCCGGCTCCCCCACAGCCCGCGGCCTCACCACCAGCTGCAGCACGTCGTCCGGCACGTTGCGCCGGTTAGCGCACAGGCTGTAGGCCGAGGAGTGGCTGAAGATGACCGGCGCCGCGGACAGCTGCAGAGCCGCCTTCATGGTGGCCACAGACACGTGGGCCAGGTCGATCATGACGCCCAGGCGGTTCATCTCCCTCAGCACACTCTGGGAAGAAGGGATTCGGGGTCCACTCTCAGCCACCCCAGAGTCCCGGCGTGGGCGGGGAAGGGCTCAATCTCCCCGCTGGACCAGGTGTTGTACATCAACCCTCAGTGGCTGCGAGTTTGGCGGCTGCCCCGGGTTCCCGCTGAGCGCCCAGCCTGGGATGACACCACTGACTCCATTTTACAGACGGGCAAACTGAGGTCCCAAGTGGGTAGAAACCTTGTCTCGGCCACTCCCTGGCCCTCTGCCTCCTTCCCCCACTCACCTGCCCAAAGACTGACAGGCCGTGGCTCTGGGCATCGTCACTGCCGCTGTCCACCAGCCAGTTGTCGGCCCTGGGGGAGCGAAAGGTTCGTGCTGGAAGGGGCAGAGCGGTGGTCCCGGCCCGCCCAGGTCCGCCTGCAGGGAGGCCTGGCCTGGGTCGCAGGAAGAGAGGGAGTTGCCCGGGGCACGGTGTCCCTCACCAGGGCGTGTTGCAGTTGTGGGTGAGCGTCAGGTACCGCATGCCCAGGTGGTAGAGCGCGCGCAGGACGCCCAAACTGCTGTCGATGGAGTGGCCGCCCTCCACGCCGATCAGACTGGCCACCCGCCCCTCCTGGAAGGCCTGCCGGATGCCTGTGGGGAGACCCCGGGGCGGAGTCACGCACCCAGCGTCCAGGAGGTCACCGACACCCCCTCGAGCGGTGCCAGCTCTCGGGACAGGGGAGGGTGGGGGACTCGGGGCCCCGGGCCGGGCCAGGACCCCACCTGCGCTGGTGGTGACACACAGGAAGGTCTCAGGGTACATCTCGCACATGCGGTGGATGACGTCCATCTGCTCCAGCGTCCTCCTCACGGCGTCTTTGTTCTGGGTGTCGCAGGGCACGTACGCAGACCAGAACTGGGGGGCCACGGGGACCAGGAGCTGATGGCGCCAGGCCCCAGGCCCACCCCACGTGCAGGTGGCTCTTTCCCGTCCCCCTGGGAAGCCTTCCCTATGGCCTGGGTGCCTGCGGCCGCCAGGGAGGGCCCCGCCCCAGCCAGGCCCAGGGGCAGGAGGGACGGACCCCGAGGTGGGGCAGGACGCACCTGGCCCCCCACGAAGCCAGCCCGCAGCTTGGGGATGTTGGTGTGCGTGCCGGTCAGGGTGGACAGGTTGGCCCTCTCGTCCTGCAGCTGGTTGTTGAACATCTTCAGCAGCTGCCAAGGTAGGTCGTTGTGCCTGGGGGACCCCGGCGGTCAGGGCAGTCGCTCGGGGCCTCCAGGCCGCCTCTGCACTTCCTGCTGCTTAGGGGCCAGGACTGAAGCCCAGGCCGCGGGGGCGAGGTATGAGCCGTCACCTGGGCACACCGTGCCCCACTGGGAGGATGACGAGTGCGGGGCCTGGGGCCGCACACCCCTCTCTACTTCCGACGCTTTCCAGTTTAGAGATGAAGTCTGCTCCTTGCAGGGAGGGGGCTGGGCATCAGGTGCAGGATTTGGGGGTACCCAGGCCCCTCTGCTGCCTCTGTCCCTAGGGAAGAGCCCTGCACCCCCTTCCAGGGGGACCCTCCATGCTTCCGGGGAACTGGGCTATGAGGTTCCCCGGAGCTGGTGGGGGAGGAGGAGGAGGAGCAGGGCAGGGGGCTTGGGGGCCGCCGGGGGCTCGCTGGGGAGCAGCGCCCGCCCTGATCTGGTGACCGGCTGTGAGGACAGACGGGGGGGGTCCTAGGCCTGGCCCCCCACCCTGGGGCTGCCCTGGGAGGGTGTCTGCTGGGACTAGGCCACGGCCCCACCCCCACCCCGTTTCCACCCCCAATTCTAGCTCCTTCCTCTGCGACGGACGTCCCCACGGACATCTCCGTACCTTCCACAGAGGGTCAAGTGTGAGCAGCACTAGGATTCTGTCAAGTGGCACAGACACCACCGTCACACGGCCCCAAGCCACCCGCCCTCAGCTCTCCAGAGCAGCTCCTCGGGGGAAACTGAAGACACTCTGCCCTTCCCGGTCCCATCATCTGTGCCCTCCCCGGGCTGGTGCCCGCCCCCCGGCAAATGGGCGTGTGTCTCAGACACTGGTGTGAAAGCCGCTGGCCTCCTAGGACAGAGGCCCGAGAGGGTCTCCTCTCGGCACACTTGGGGAGCCCCCGGCACAGCCGTCGTCTTCCGTCCTCTGAGGGTTGTGTGATTTGACTGAGGTGACGGGCCTGGCCCTGCCCAGCCCTTGGCACGGAGCTGGCGCATCTGCCGCACGAACAGGCGGATGAGCCCAGCAGGGACCCGTCCAGGTGGGGCCAGGGCTGGGCAGGGCTCCCAAAATGGGACTTTACTCCTTTGCCTAAGAAATAGATCGAGGGTCTCTGGGGACCCTCTGGCCACCCCCAGAGGCGGCAGAAGCAGCGTTTGGGGCCACTCTCTGCTCCTCTTCCCTCCTCCCTCAGGCCCCTCCACCCCTGCTGGAAACAAGGTAGAGGGTGGGGCCTCAGGTCCAACTGAGAAACCATAGTTCTGGAGCTAATCAGATTCACCCTCCTCATCTTGTGTGGCCTGGGGCAGCGTCCTCAGCAGGGGTGTGGGATCAGGGTGTCCTACTCAAGGAGCGAGCCCTGGGGCCAGCACCTGTGGGAGAGACTGCTGGCTGCCTCAGTTATCCATTCTTCTCCTTTTCTCCCAGTTACAAAACACCCTATTTTTGGCAGGACACACGACCATTTAGAATGAAGATATTTCCTTGCCCCTGTACAGCTGGGTGTGGCCATATGATCAAGTCCTGTCCTGTGACATCTTCCAAAAACTGTCATTGACACAGCAGTTGCTCACCCTTGCTTTGTCCCTTCCTCCTTCCTGCTGCCTGGCATGCAAACGTGATGGCTGGAGCTGGTGCAGCCATTTTAAACCATGAGGTGACTGTGGGAACGGTGGCCACGCCAGCACTCTCCCTGGAATTCTGCGCTGTCGGAGCAACTTATTTGGGTCACCTGCAAGAGTAGCTAATACTAATTGATCCACTATTATTGGTTTTGATTTTGACTGCCAAGCTACCCTAAGCTTTCTACCTCTTTGGCTAATCCCAGCCCCCAAATCCCAGCCCCCTAAGCATTCCTGGCTCTCTGAGCCATTTACCCTTCATGTGGGCCTCTGCACGGCCCCCAGCACCTGAACTCAGATCCCCTCTCTCTGTGCTCAGCTGCCCCAAGTCCCCTTGAAAGAAGGGACAGCTTTCCTGGTCCTCTGGCTCCTACAGTTGGTGATTTCCACCTGTCCTTGCTGGACCAAGACCCTCCCCTGCCAGACTGCTGGGATGCCAGGGTGGGAGCCCAGGGAGATGGCCCCTGAGAGGCAGGGAGGGGCAGATGGGAAGAGGGTGCACACAGGCCCCGCGACAGCCTTCCTCCCTTTCTGGGGCTGCCTCTGTTCCCGAGTTTCTTATATAGTGAGTCATCCGTGCTTCTTACTTTTCTTACAGAGCTTTTTCCCCAACACGGCCCAGAGGCATCTGCTAAGTAGCGTTCACTGTAACAGTTATCGAGCGCTTACTGTGTGCTGGACACAGTGTGCACCCTCGGAACCCTCCCGACCCGGTGTGCAGCCCGATGTGCCCAGACCCTAGAAGGGAGACGCGAGCATTTTACACAGAAGGGCTGTTAGGGGACCCCGGGCAGTGGCCAGAGTGTGGACATCGGGGCTGAGCCTCCCCAGGGAGGAGTGTGGGGCCGCCGGCTGCGGCACAGAGCGCCAGGCATGCGGGACTGTGGGCCAGGGACAGCCTAGAGCCGGGACTTTCTCTCTTGGGCTGGAAGCGGGAGACTCCACGGCGGCCCAGGATGGGGGTGGCTGGGCTTGGCGGGGAAAGGGTCAGATCTAGAGGCTCTGGGAGGTGGAGCTGCCCTGAGACCAGGAGAGGAGCAGGGCAGGGACCCTAGTGGGGGTCAGGGGGACACAAGCAGAACAGGGAGGGGCCCTGGACACGAGCAGTGTGGGGTCTCCCCCAAGACGGCACAGGCCAACAGGGTGGGGTCAGGCACTGGGCCGGGCAGGCAGGGGGCCAGCCCGAGCAACGCCAACCTGAAGCCCTCTGGGGACGCAGCTGAGGCCGGAGAGGCCTGTGGCTGGTGGCAGGTGGCCGTGGGCTCAGCCTCCCGGGCCCTTGCTCTGAGCAGGGGAGCCTGGAGCTGCACTGTCCCCCCCCCACCTACAGACCCTCATCTGCTGAAGCCTCTGGGGGTCCCAAGAGGCCCCACGGAGCAGTGGAGGCCACATCACAGTCAGAGAAGCCAAGCCCTAAGTCAAGGGCACCTGGATTAGGGGCCACTTACCCGTCAATGACAGGCGTGTCCTGCATGATCCTCTCCGCCTCGTCTCTGAACACGTCTGCGGCGCAGACAGCCACTAGGGGCCAGAGCCACCAGCCGGGACACATGACGAGGTCCACGGGATCTGCTCTGGTGGCTGCTCTGGCACGTCCCCGCTGGCCTGGCTGCCGGTGCGGAAGGAGCTCGGGGCTGTGAGGAGCTGCTCTGCCTGCAGAAGAGAGGGCAGAGGCCTTCGGTGGAGGAACCCGTCCATTTACAGCTCCCGGGTTCAATGAGTAACCAGCACCGTCCCGGGACGTGAGGGCGTTGCTGTCGGGGCGAGGTGGAGGCGTAGTAAGAGGCTGGGATCCCAGACCCGGAGGGGTCAGAGCCCAGATGAAAGGACAGCGGGCTTAGAACAGGACTAGCACAGGCTAAGTGGTTAATGAATGTCAGCCTCCTTGCTGACGTTCTTTGAGGTTCTTCTCCACCTAAGGGAAAAAACGGAGGCAAACGTAACATAAGCAGAGAGTTCGTTTGGGTCGAGCTGGAGCACTGCAGCCTGCTAGTGTAGATTCCAGTGGCCCAGAATATGTACTCCATTAGCCGCAGTTACAAGTAGATTTTTAAAGAAAAGAGGCAGTTCCTAAGTCGTTTAGGGAGAATCTACACTAAAATAACATAAGCTATTGATTGCTATTCATTGTCCTTTGTATCACAAATTGCAGGAAGATAAAGGATGAGACTAGTCAGGAAATACTGGGTAGGAAAGAAAGAACAAAACCCCTTTAAGCAGCTGCCTGCGGGCACAGGTTAGGGTTAGGGTTAGGCAGGGTCATAGCTGAAGTCCCTGCTCCTGTGTCTCTGGGCCCCCCACTGAGCCCAGACTGCTCCGAGCTGTTACCACCACCCCCTCGGAACCTGGGCGTTTGCCTGAGATCTGAAAAGAGAATTTAAACAATCATTCCAATATTGCATTCTCATAATGCCCCTCTTTGCACATAAAAATAACTTTGCATTCCTCACTGTGGAGGATGAAACGGCACTTTTCAGGAAGATGGGGCACGGCTGGCCGCCCTCCAGCGCACAGGACCACGCTCTGGCGGCAGAGCTCCGGCCGAGCAGTTGGACTTTGGGGCTTGGGCTCAGGAAGCATTTTCTTAGAACTGGGGCCTTTCTCAGCCACGGTAGGGTATACTCAGTCACCTGCGGGGCTTCCAAGAACCCAACGTCCAGGCCCCAACCAGTGACTCCCAAGCCCAGGGCTGGGCCAGGCACCCAGGGCTCCAGTGGGCAGTGGGCTGAGAATGGGGCCCAACCCAGGCCTGCTGGGAGGGGCTGCAGGGAAGGCTGGCGCCTCCGCCCACCCGCTGTTCTCAGGGACTGCTGGTAAGGAAGGACCCTCCCAGCCACACCCCCTGCCTGGGCTCATGAGGCCTCTGCCACGATGCCATTGGGCCTCACGCAGACCTGTTCACAGACAGGCGTCACAGGGCTGGGCCAGGGTCCTGCAGCCCCCAAGGACAGAGGCCAGCTCCTGTCCTTCCTCCTGCCTCCGAGAAGGGAGGTCACGTTCCAGCCTTGGCTCTGCTGCCAATCGCCAGGCCTCCGACCCCCCCACGGGGCCTCCACGTACCAGACTCCAAATGACCTGCCTGCAGGGTTTGACTCACCACCTCCCTGAGCAGGAAACACCTCCCTTGAAGGAGAAGGAACCCAGAGTCTGCGGCGCCCACTTTGGTCCGCAGCCCCTAAGACCAGCAGGGGCTTGCAGCATGGCGGGTTTCAGGGTTTCGAGGCTGTTTCTCGTGGGTGGGGGTTCAGGGGTGCACACAGCGCTGGCTGAGCCCCAGCACCAGGGCTCCTCACCCACTGGCTTCCCTTTATTGCAATAGTTTACTTACTACGCATCTATTCATTTTCGACTTTCGTTCCTGTCCTTTTTGCTTCAGGGTTTTTGTTGGTTCTTAGCATATGATTGCATTTTTTTAAAAAATTAAAAAAATTTTTTTTGGAGACAGAGTCTCACTCTGTCACCCCAGGTAGAGTGCCGTGACGTCATCGTAGCTCACGGCAACCTCACACTTCCCGCCTCAGGGATCCTCCTGCCTCGGCCTCCCAAAGTGCCGGCATCACAGGCGTGAGCCACTGCGCCCAGCCTATTTAATAGTTTCATAGGTTGTTCATCATGGCTTTTTTTTGCATGAATTTGAGTTTTTAAAAACATGTCGCATTAAAATACTATTTATCAGCCAGCCGAGGCGAGAGGATCACTTGAGGCCAGGAGCTGGAGGTTCCAGTGAACTGCAATCACACACCCACGCAGCCCAGCTGGGTGACAGAGTGAGAGCCTTTCTCCAAAAAAAAAAAAAAAAATTATATATATATGTGCGTGTGTATATACTATTTATTGTGGTAACCGAGGTTTTTGACAGCGTCATCCTTTGAAATTGGCATGTGGGGCGAGTGCCTCAGTGTTGTCTCCTGTCTTCAATCTCTGTTTCTTACGCTGGTCCTTAAGGCAAGAGCGTCACGGACAGCCCTGGGCTCGGCAGCGGGTTCCACTTCCAGGTGTGGCTGCGGTACCGATGGTGCCTGCCCCATGCGCTCTCCTTGCGCATGTGATTCTGACTTGGCTCATCGAGAGGTGGGGGACAGGTGATTTGTGACGAGGGACAGAGGACATTTCCCCAGGCGAGTGACTTTGGCTTTCTTGTCTGTAAAATGGGTGAGCAGCCCTAACCTCAGGGCTGCTGTGAGCCCATGACTTAGCCGTAGCAGCCCCTGGACCTCCCTCGGGACCGTCCCCCAGTTTGCGCCCCCGGGCGGTTCCCGTGCAGTGAAGAGATGCCTCCGTGCCCGCCTCTCATCCTCCCCGTCCCGCCCGGGCCACGCAGAGCTGGTGGCATCTCCTCCCGCTGGCTCCTGTGGGTGGTCCCCGCCAGTGGGACGGGAGCCAGTGACACAGGCCCTTCCCAGCTGGTCCTGGCAGCTGCAGCGGGACGGCCCCAGCCCACGGTGGAGACCACCCTGGTGACACCAGCCCTGCCTCCCCCGCGGCCTCCGAGGTCACCTCCCAGGGGAGCCATCTGCACCCAGTCCTGCCTCGGTCTGTGCTTTCAGGGAAGCCACTCGATTGTTCCCGTACATTTCTTCACTTTTTTTAAAAGACAGAACAGTATTAGTTGGAAAATCAGCCCCACTTGCCATAAACAGAAGAAACGCCAAGGAATAAACACAAACAGTGACATTACGTCCCACCCAGAGCCGCGGGCAGGCCGCCCAGGAAGAGTCGCAGGGCACGGCTGACGCTGCCCAGCTGGCCGGCAGAACCTGCTCGCAGAGCTGTGCAGCCGGGTCGCACCCGCCAGGCTCGGAGGCCCCCGGGCCACCAACCACCTTGGAGCGCTAGAGACACCCCCCGGCAGCACTGAGGTCCTGAGGCCCTCACCCCACATCCCTCACGTGCTCTGGAGCACGCACAAACACAGGAGATGTGCACAGTCCCGTCTGAGCCACGAGCACGCAGTGAAAACATGCAGACATGCTGCACATAGGTACGCATGGTTATACAGACATGTGCAAGCATGTGCGTGTTCACACGGATATCCCCACAACCCCATAAACACTATTCACAGCAGATCTGTGCAGACACCATCCTTGTTCACAGCTAGATATCACACTTCTGCACATGTAGACACACACACACACAGACCAACCCACATCCCACACACATGCGAGCACACAGGTCAGCACAGACAAGAACACTCAAGACACCTTCTAAACCTGCACGGGCAGATGTGTGCACGCATTCACCAATACACACATGCAACTGTACAACTACCTGGACACGTGCACACACACGTGCACAGGACACGGGCCCACACACCCTACCACACCCACGCTTGGCAGCTGCAGGCAACCTCGTCATCATGCCCGTGTGGCGGCCTCGCCCGCCCAGGTTTCTGGAGCCCCCCACCCCCGCTTACGACCACCCGTGGGGTCTGGCGCCCAGGGCCCCAGTGAGTGTCGAGGAACAGACAGGCTCCGGGGACCCCGGCCCTCTGCCCCTCTCCTGGGAGGACCTGGGACCTCTCCCCGCCCGGCTGAAGTCTGCACGGTGGGGGGGTGGCAGGGGCGCCGGTCCTCAGCTCCCCCAGCCCTCCGGGCCCAGCAGCACCAGCCTTGCCTCTGCCAGCCGTGCTCCCTGCCCACGAGGGTGACCCTCTGCCCAGCCAGGCCCCAGGCGGCTGCTGTCGCTGCCCACGCCCGGCCACCCAGGCTGGCGGCTTCTCCCCGTCCCTCCTCATCCAGCCAGACCCCCCCAGCCCGTCCTCTTCCTCACTGTGGGACGCCGCTCGGCCTGGCCCCACCCTCTGGACACCGGCACCCCAGAGGCAACCCTCCCCCCTGGGCTGGAGCTGACGCCCTGTCCCCTGGGAGCCCGGGTGGCACTCAGTGGGCATACAGCAGGTGCCCACTGACTGAGGTTCTCCCACTGCCGAGATGTTTCCCAGTGGTGGGATCGCGGCGGTCGGGGAGGGGGTGCCTTCCACACCTCCATACAGCCCCGCGCTTGCCGAGCTCCCCGACCAGCCCCGGCGCCCGGGACTCACCATGAGCCAGTTCAGCCCTGCCAGCGGGGCTTGACTGTCCCCGGGTCCCCCTCCGCCCAGGTCGCAAGCCCTGGGGGTTTGTTCCGTTTCTCTCAAGTTTGGTCTCTCGGCCGAGTTCTCTAGCTACGAAAAAGCCACGGCTTTGAAGGGAAGATTGCCGGAGGGGCTTCTCAACGCACGAGGCGCGCTAATGCCTCACACATGTCAGCTGGTTCTCGTTTCCGAAGACACGCACGCCCACACGGCTGCGCCCACCCAGCCGCCCCGCGCTCCCGGGGCCCCTCTCTCTGGGGCAGGCCGAGGGCTGTCGGCGATGGGCCTGGGGTCTCCCCACAGTTTGGGGGTCTCTGTCCTGGGCAGGCGGGTGGCATCAGCGCAGCACTGGGAGGAGGGGCTGGGCCTGGGCTCCCGGAAGATTCCAGGGTGGCAGGGAATCCGGCCCACAGGTTTTCTCTCCGCCACTGGTCCCTGGCTGTTCCCGGGGGTGGGAGAGACCCGGGCCCACTGTTGGGACGCCCTCTCCCCAGTTTCTCAATTGTGGGGGGCTGAGCTCCCCACACTCCCAGCTGCCAACGATCAAAAGCGATGTCAGGGCCGAGCGCGGTGGCTCA